CACAGTGGACTTCTCTGCCTTAGGGTTGCTTGGGTGGAAAATTTGCAGAAGCACTCATGGAAGTGCAAGCTCTGGGCCATCTGGGCCTTGTCCACTCTCCCAGCTATATGTGGTGAAAAGGAATTTCTTAACTATGTAAACCAGCGTGGGAGACTTGGCGCCATGCTCTGTTTGTGCAGCTGCTGCCTGGGCTCCAGTGCTGCTGTCAGGACCCAGAAGTATCTGTGTTGGGGGAGGATTTCTAGGGGCCGGAGGAGGTGAGAACTGGGTTGTGGAGGGTGGTTGTCTTCCAAGTGCTCGTGGCTATTGACAGTCAATTCTTTTTAAAGAAAATGTATATTTATTAGAAATAATTTAGTGTCGCATTCCCATAGTTCAAAATTTAAGTTACAAGAGGGCTTGCCATGGAATACTCCCCTCTGCTTCTTTCCAAAGCCCCAATCCCTTCCTCACAGCCGGTGTTACCAGCTTCTTGTGTAGCCAAGCACATACATAGTCCCCGTTCCCTTACCTTTTTTTTATACAATCAGGGCCGTGCCATATGCACCATCATGTTCCTTGCATTTCCCTCACTTTCTTGTTCCTTTTCCCCCCTAACTGTACAGGATATCATTGAACTGATGTCACTCAATTCACAAGTGCCCAATTAATTGGCATTTAGTCATTTTCAATCTTTGGGTATTATAGTGCTGCAATTAATAATCTTGTTTATATATCATTTTGCACACATGTAGGATAAGTGCTCGAGGAGAAGTTCCTGGGTCAAAGGGAATGTATGTTATCATTTTAACGAATCCTACCAAATTGCCCTCTAGGGAGCGCGTGCCAGTTTCTAGCCCCCCTAGCAGGGGATGAGAAAACTTGTTTCCTTACACCCCCACACATTGTGTATCCAGCCTTTTGACCTAGGCTGTCTGATAGGTAAAGAAACGCTTTCAGTGCAATTTTAGGAGATGGTCCCATCTTGAAAAACAATGGAGCATAGCACGTCTGCTACTTTTGCCTTTGTGGTGATGACCTATTGTAGTGTTTTCTACCTTTTGGAATGGCGGAGGAAGCGGAGTTGATTTTTGTTAACTATTTATGACTGCCTGTGTGAATGAATGATAGTGAAAATATTAAAAAGCGTGTGTATTGGAGACCAGGATGGCTTCTCCTTGGGGGATGAGGTTTTCCGAGATATTACATAAGGGGTATGACATGCTAAATGAGTCATTAGAAACTGTGTGCTCTTTGGTTTTATTGATGCTGGAACATCCGCCCTAATCTTGTTATGACAGGACTCAAGAGCAAAGAATCACTGAAATGTAGTACCAGCAACTTAGTGCGGTCAGCAGTGTTTGTCCCCAGTGACCTCCTGGTGGAGTAGATCTTCACCAGCTCTGGTCTCGGTGGAGTTCTGCTGCCTTTGCTACATTCACGAGGTACAAACGTAAGCATTTGGAAAAGATGATGCATAGATCGAAGTTCAGAGTTGGGAGGGCTTTTGGAGAGCCTCTCGACCAACTTTCTTTTCCCTGGGAAGTCATGGAGAAGAATTTGCATGTAGGACTTGCCTTGAAAAAAAAAAGGATATAATTTTTAGTTGTTTAGATTCCAGGACTGCTGCAGGTGAATTCGGTATGGTTTCAGGCAAAGAAAGTTTGTCCTATGGGTTTTATATAAAATAGTGGACTGGGAGTTTGTGGCAGGGTGGAGCTCAGGAATGGGTTCTGGAAAGATTTGCTCCTTTATCTCACATGCCAGGGTGCCAGTTAGGTTCCAGTCCAGGTTAATCCAGACCTGGTTTTCAGTATCCTTGTTCTTCCTGAGATTTCTGGGTGAACGAAAGAGCACTGACCACACATGTAAGAGTTCTTGGCTTTCCTGGAAGATTTAGGCAGCAATCTCATCTCCTCTCCCTCTCATTAGTGCCTCAGTGGATCGCAGACCACTGGGCCAAATGTGTCACCTTTCTGCTCTGTCCCAACTTTGCTTCTAGGGTTCCTCTGTCTTTTCCCATCTTTTTTAAATCAGCTATGTTGAGATAGAATTCACATAACATAAAATTCAACCATTTAAAGTGCACGATCCAGTGGTTTTTATTATGTTTATAGAGTTATGCAACCATCACACAATTTTAGAATATTTTCATCAGCCCCCCCCCCAAATCCTGTAACCTCCAGTAGCCCCCTCCCAATCATCCCGTCCGCTCAGCCCCAGGCAACCACTGAGCTCCTTTCCGTTTCTAGATTTGCCTATTCTGGACATTTCATATAAATGTCAACCTGTGGCCTTCTGTGAATGGCTTTTGTTCACGTAACATGTTTTTAAACTTTATAAATGTTGTATGTATCAGTACTTCATTTCTTTGTAGGCCCCCAAAATATTCTATTGTGTGGATATACCACATTTCGTTTACCCATTCATCAGTTAACGAACATTTGGATTATTTCCACATTTGGCTATCATGAATAATGCTGCTATGAAGTTTTTGTGTGGCCATGTTTTCATTTCTCTTAGATATATATTTAGGAGTGGAATTGCTGTGTCATATGATAAGTCTGTTTAACGTTTTGAGGAACTGCCAAACTGTTTTCCAAAGTAGTTGCACCATTTTACTTTCCCATCAGCAATGTAGGAGGGTTCCAATTTCTCCACATCCTCATTTAACCTTTTTGATTAAAGCCATCCTAGTGTGTTTGAAGTGGCACCTCATTATGGTTTTGATTTGTGTTTCCCTAATGACTAGCTATTGGGCAACTTTTCATGTGCTTATTGGGCTTTTGTGTATTTTCTTTGGAAAGAATTCTGTTTATTCAGATCTTCTGCCCTATTTTTAATTGAGTTATTTATCTTTTTATTGAGTTTTTAAAGAGTTTTTTATTTTAAGAGTTTTTAAAAAAATATATTCTAGATTTGGGTTCTTTATCATATATATGATTTGTAAATATTTTCTCTCATTTTGTGCATTGTCTTTTCACTTTTTTTTGTCTTTTCACTTTCTTGATGGTACCATTTGCAGCACAAAAGTTTTTAATCTTGATGAAGTCCAATATATCTATTTTTTTTTCTTTTGTTGCATGTGCTTTTGGTATTGTGTCTAAGGAGTCTTTGCCTAACCCAAGGTCACAGATATTTACTCCTGTGTTTTCTTTTAAGAGTTTTATAGTTTTTAGATCTTACAGTTAGGTCTGTGATCCATTTTTAGTTAATTTTTGTGTGTGGTGTAAGGAAGGGTTCTGATTTCTTTCTTTTTTATGGAGATATCCAGTTGTCCTAGCAGCATTTGTTGGAGAGTATTTCCGCCATCTAATTTTCTTGGCACCCTTGTTGAAAATCAATTGACTGTAAATGTTGGGTTTATTTTTGGACTCCCAATTCTATTCCATGGAACTACATGGTATCCGTATGCCAGTACCACACTATTTTGGTAACTGTAGCTTTGTAGTCTCTTATCTTCTAATGGGAAAGTTAGGGTAGAAATGGGCAGTCTAGACGTTTTCTTTCCCTGGTCTGACCAGTTATTGGATTCTTTAGATCCCTCTTCACGCTTCCAGCCACACTTTATTTCTCTTTGTTCATCTTGTTGGTTTCAGTAGGAGATGATATCCAAGCAGTCCTGAGAAATCCCAGCTGTCGTGCCTCTTAGTTTTCTCCTCACAATGTCAGCTAACTGCATTCTGACTCAGTAGCTTGGCTCTGATGGGTTTCCCCAGATGTATAGAATTAAACATTTGGTTTGTGAAGAGATACTCTGCTTTCTGAAACTCTCTAATTGGTTTAAGTTCAGCTTACTGTACTATTATAAGAGTTAAAGATCTTTCTGAACAGCTACATGAGCAAGCAAGCAATTCTGGCAGATAGCTCTCCCAGGTGGGCTGTGACATAGTCTTTGAAGCCGAACCGTGTCTTCCCTGGGCCTTCCTTTCCGTCCAAGCATCAGCAGTACTGTTCCATGAGCATTCGATCTGCTGATATTGGCATCGCTATAGTAGTGGAGGGATGAAAGGCGAGAGATCTGCCAGAGGTGGAATTCTGGACAAGGCTACTTACCATCGCTTCAAGTTACTGAGCCAAAACATAAAAAGCCCATGTGACACCTGGAATGACCCTCCTGTAATAGTTGCCATTCCTTTCTGTTAGGAATTGTGTGCAGCAGAAGCTCATTTTCAGATCATAGTGCCTAGAGCTTGCACGATGAACTGTATCATAATTAAAGCAAATTTTTAATTTTCATTTTTTTATTGGACATTGAAAAAAAATTGATACACAGAGGCTGTCCTTCATCAAGAGCTTCTATGAAGGGGCCCTGCACATGGAGAGGGGTCAAGGAAATGAACTTGCCCGAAGGCAGGGGTTATAAGAACAGGCTCTGGGTTCAGTCTGTCTGAATGCTTTTCCTCCTCAGTGTACGTGGCACGCTCCTTAATCTACCTAAGTCTCAGTTTCTTTGTCTTTAAAATGGTGATAAGAACCATACTCACCCCCTGGAGTTGTTAAAAGGTTGAAATTCCATGTCAAGGATTTAACCCAGGTTAGGGTTGACAAACTCTTTCTGTAAAGAGTTAGGCTTTGCGACACCGTCGGCTCAGTGGTCTCGGCCACCCTTCTTCACTCTGCTGTTACAGCAGGCAAGCAGCCCATGAGTGGGTATGGTGGTGTTCCGGTAACACTGCATTTTTTTTTAAATTGGGGAACAATGTGTTTTTCCAGGACCCATCAGCTCCTACTCGAGTAGTTGTTTCAATCTAATTGTGGAGGATGCAGCTCAGAGGGCCATGTGGGGATCGAACTGGCAATCTTGGTGTTGTGAGCATTGGCTTTAACCAAATGAGCTAACCGGCCACCCCAACACTGTATTTTTAATAGCAGGTGGTGGGCTGGACTTGGCCTGCAGGCTGCAGTGTGCCGACCCCTGGCTTAGCATGGCGCCTGGCACGTCGTGGGTTTTTAATAATGTCAGCCATCCTCAAAGCTGGGGGCTACCCCCTTGACACTGGTTCCCATGTTTTTAACAGAATGTCGAGGTCCTGGCCAGTCGGAACAACACTTCCGAGCAAACCCAGATGGGGGCTGAAATGCACATGAAGGCTCTGCAGGAGGAGAATGAGAAGCTGCAGAGGACCCTTGGAGCACTGGAGCAGAGCGTCGCTCGGCTGCAGAGGCAGGTTGCTGACACGAAAGGCGATGAAGCCAAAGCAAAGGAAACCCTCAAGAAGTATGAGGTGAGGCTCGCTGGGCCCCACGCCCAGCTTTGGCAGCTGCTAACCCTTCTTGTCTGTGTGAGCCGATTCCAAAGTGGAAAGGGATTTATTATGATATTTTAGTAGTAAAGGTCAAAGCAATAGTGAATATGTCCTCTCGGGGAACCATTCTTTTTGTTCCTCTGCAAGTGGCATGAATGGGAGATGAGCTTCTCAAGAGTCTTGGGAACAGGGCTGATGACGTCAGGGCAGGAAACACATATGTAGGCATAGGAATCCCCGCTCACCCAGACCTCAGACACACTCAACTTTTGGATACTGAGCAGAGGTCTCCACATACCTGGAAATGCCGCCATCAGGCCCATTCTCATTCATGACTATTTATACTTTTTAACACGCAGTGAACAGTTTTTGAAGTCACACAAGTTTTAACAAACCAGTTCTCTGGTTTGCCAGGTCTCTGGAAGTGGGAGGCTGTTTGCAAGAGATAGGTACTGAGAGCTGTGAGAAATGGCAGCTGACAATAAAAGAGGGGACAAAAGACATGTAAAGGGAGGTGTGTGCCAACAGAGGTTCCCCATATGCTCATCCATCAGAATCACCTGGAAGTCTTTTCCAGAACTCCGTGTGCCTGAGCCCATTCAGCACCCACTGTTTCTGAAGCTCCAGGGGTGAGGCTGGAAATTTGTATTTTCAAAGCCCCATCCCAGGTGATTCAAATGTTCACGTCTGGCTAAGTCCAGAACTGCAGACAGGCATACACCTCCAAGAACATGGCTGTTGTGTCATGTTGGGCCCATGACAGGCTCACTGTGACCACAGCCACTGCTGGCTTTGTCTGCGGTGTCTCCTTTGTTCCTTTCATGCCACCGAGCCAGCTTCCTAGGCATAGCCCGCAGCTGAGTGCACGCTGACCCTGGATTTCATTGTAGGAGGAAACTCGGCAATTGGAGGAGGCCCTTGTACGTGCAAAGAAGGAAGAAAAAGAAGCCACGTCAGCCAGAAGGGCCCTGGAGAGTGAGCTGGAAGATGCTCAGGTAAAGACTGAGGGCTGTCGTTTCTGTCCCGCACACAGGAAGCCCAAGAAGCAAAACTGGGGGGACATGTACAGATTGCCATTGAGCCTCTCTTTTCCAGGTAGCGCCTTCAGCATAATAACCATGCTGGTTCAAACTGTCTGTCCATCTAGGCTGGTGGTTCTTCACTGAGGGACATCTGGCAATGCCTGGAGACAGTTTGGGTTGTCACAACAGAGGAGATGCTACTGTCATCTAGTGGGTAAAGGCGATGGATGCTGCTAAATGTCCTACGAGGCACAGGACAGCGCCCACAGTAATGAATTATCTGGCCTTCAGTGTCAGTAGTGCGAGGTTGAGACATCCTGGTTGAGACATTAAAAAGCTTGACAGCTTTCCAGAGATAAAATACGAGTTGTGTAAGAAGGCCGGCAGGGTTGGTCCTCAAGGCAGTGTGGAGTTAGCTGGCCGAAGCCAATTTCCTTTCTCCTTTGGGCAAATATACTGCAGAGAGTGCAGTCCTTCAAGATGACTTTTAAAAGGAGCAGGAGGAAGTCATTTCCTTGAAACTCGATATCTATCTCTAGTCAAAATCAGTAGATTCTGAGAAAATTAGTTTTTCTCATTTGAAGGTTAGAACGCTTGTTTGAAGTACATTCTAAAAAAAAAAGTTCTGCACTGACTTTGCACAGTGACCTCTGCTTGATCCAGGTCTGTCCTTCTTTCTGGCTGCTCTCGGGTGTTAGAGAACCAGCTCCCAGCATCCCTCAGGCAAGTTTCTGAGGAGGTGAAAGCCAGTGTTTTTGAGCAGTTGTCAAGGAGGAGGTTGTTAAAGTTTTCCATTAGGACCTTGAGGGCAACTGGGGGAGGGGCAGTGAAAAGCGGTAAGCGCTGACAAGCAGTCAGGATTCAGATTCATAGACCTAATGGCAGCTTTCCTTTCAGTATAGGC